CCGGGCGGGTCAGCCAGGATGTCGAAGGCTGCCGGGTCGTCCGAAGGCTCTGCAGAGAGAGAGAGAGCGAGCGAGATTTAAATTCACACCTGTTTAAATTCTTAGAGAGCGCTGTAACGTAAAGTGACCGCGCCTAATGAAGCTTCTCTTGGAGCCGAGCTGAGTGGTCAGCAGGTGTGGAGCCACTCGTACACGTCAACATGTCAACATGCGTGTTCATATTCACACCCTTCATGACAGAGTATAAGATTGGATGGATAAATAGAGGATGAGAGAAATAAATAGAGACAATGAAGACAGAAAGTGAGTGCAAGCAAGAGGAAAAAGAAAAGAAAAAATGAAGCGAGAGAGGGAGAAGATGAAAAGAAAAGCATGGAGAGAAAGAGCAAGGGAGAAAGAAGCAAGAACAAATAAGCAAAAGTAATTGAGAGAGGGAAAATGGAAAGACAAAAAAGGAAAGAGAAAAAAGAAAGAGTAAGAGAAAAAAGGGAGGGGATGGACGGAGGGAGAAAATAGAGAAAAGGGAGAGAGCGAGAGAAAGAATGAGACAGCAAGTGTACAAAAGTGAGAGAGCAAGGGTCAGCAAGAGAGAGAGAGAGAGAGAGAGAGAAAGAAAACAAAAATAAAAAAGGAGAGAGAGACAGAGAGAGAGAGAGAGAGAGAGAGAAAGAGAGAGAAAAATAGAAAGTAAGAAAAAAGATAAGGCTGGAGAGAGGGAGAAGATGAAAAGAAAAAAATTGAGAGAAAGTGATTGAGTGAGAGAAAATGGAAAGACAGAAAAGGAGAGAGAGTCGAGACAGCAAGCAAGAGAGAAAATGGAAAGAGTAACAGAAAAAAGGGAAAGAATGGAAAGAGGGAGGGAAGAGCGAGAGAGGGCGAGACAGCAAGTGTCCAAGAGTGAGAGAGTAAGGGTGAGCAAGAGAGAGAGAAAGACAGAAAATGGAAAGATAGTAAAAAAAAAAAGGAAGGAATGGAGAGAGGAAATGGAAAGACAAAATGGAGAGAAAGAGCGAGAGAGCAAGACAGAGCAAGAGAGAGCAGGATTGAGATCAAGTGTGCAAGAGTGAGCAAGAGAGAGAGAGCAAGAGAGAGAATAAAGCGAGGGAGTGAAAGCAAGAGAGAGAGAAGGGAGAAAGCAAGGGAGTGAAAGAGCAAATGAGAGAGAGGAGAAAGCGAGGGAGTGAGAGAGCAAAAGAGAGCGAGAGCGAGAGAGAGAGAGAGAGAGAGAGAGAGAGAGAGAGAGAGAGAGCGCATTACAAAGACTCGTTTGTGTGGCGGCCTTGTTCTGTTATCAGCCGCTCCCTCCCCCAACTGCTCTCTCTATCGCTCCCTCTCTCTCCCTCTCTCAAACTTTACTTCCACCCCCTCTATCTTTTCCTCTCTCTCTCTCTGATATGGAGTCAAATGGCTTTACTGGCATGAACTGCAACAAACATCTGTTGCCAAAACACTGAAACACTGGGCCTTTAAGGCTGACATATGTAAATGACCTCTGTTCTGATTGGCTGTGCCTCGATCAGAAAGCTCTCCGGGCTGAAACACTCTTTTTAACTTTGCAGTGAGTGGGTGGAGCCAAAATGCTGTAGGCTGCATAGGTGGGAGTATGAGAATGCGTTGTTTTCTGTGACATCACAAAAGCAAGGATTCCAAACGGGCCGTTTTGTGGAGCTCAGTTTCCTCATTTGGACAGTACAGACTGTGTACTTCAATACTTTAGTGGTGTTTACATACTACAAACTCAAAACATCAAAGGAAGTGAGGACATTTCCAGGATATGGGCCCTTTAATGCAAATATGCACATATATGCACATATAATGCAAATATGCACATATATAATCTGTATGTATACATACACACACACACAAGATTTTTCCACAGTATTGGCTTATTGTTCTCTCTCTCTCTCTCTGCTTCCCTGAATTTGTTAATGCCGATCTATCTTTTCCTGCAGCCTTACACTCCCCACCTCTCTGTCTCTCTTGCAGGTGTTATTGTGTGTGTGTGTGTGTGTGTGTGTGTGTGTGTTGAGGGGGGCTGAGAGCTTCCTGAAAATTCCGCTCGGCTGCTCTCCCAGAGGACCCCCCCCCTTACCCCCCTCCACACGTCTGTCCTTCACTCTCTCCCTCTCTTCCGTCCTCTCTCTCTCTCTGCGCTACACCCTTTTTCCGGAGTCCTTCTCACATCGCTCCCGCTACGCCGTCTCCTATTAACGCCGTCTTCCATTAAGCAGCGCCGCAGGATGTATGTGTGTGTGCGCATGTGGGTGCATGCGAGCGAGTGTGTGTGTGTGAGTGCGTGTAGAAAGGGAGGCTCTTCACTCTTTCCAGTGGGTGTTGGCGTCAGCGCTAAAGCCTCAAAGAGAAAGAAAGGAAAAAAAAAATTCACAGCCCACCCACCCCCCCCCACTCCCTCACTCTCCCTCTCTCGCACGCTTTTGCGCTCCGTTTTATAGCCGGGGTTTTTCCGAGGCGGTGCTTTAGCAGAGCTCCCAAAATAGCC